TGCGTGCGTGCGTGCGTGCGTGCGCGTGTGTGTGTGTGTGTGTGTGTGTGTGTGTGTGTGTGTGTGTGAGTGTGTGTGTGTGTGCGTGTGTGTATCTCCCCACTCCGCTGGACCTCCCAGGAGCACACGAGAGTGGCGCGAGAGTTGCGCAGTGGTGGTCTGTGCCCCAGGGAGCCCATGGGAGCCGCGAGACCTCTGGGGTGCCTGTGCGCACAACTCCACTCCGCTGGGTGGGGTGGGGGTGCGCCCCCGATCCTCTGGGGGGAAGCCAGCCCCTGACCCGGAGCGCGCGCCCCATCCCGCGGGCTGACCTGAGATCGGATCGGAACATCGAATCGGCACGCGCGGTGCGCCGAGGCGGCAGAGCTCGGCAGGCAGGCCAGAAGGCCTCGGAGCCGACGCCCGGCGGCCGGAGGCGCGGGGCCTGCAGAAAGAGGCCCAGACCGAAGTCGGAGTTCGGAGTCGAATCGAAGGTGGAGTCGAGATCCTCGACGTCGAACGGATGCGGATCGACGGAGTCGAAGTGGCCCCGTGGCCCCGTGGCCCTGGCCGAAGCCCTGCCGGCCCGTCCGTCGCCATTTCGGCCCCAGGGTGGGGGGGGCGGCTCCAAGAGGACCTGGCCCCGGGGGGGCGGCTCCGAGAGGAGCGCCCGCACGCGCAGAGGGCCGCGCAGAGGGCCGTGCGGCGCGGCGGCACGGGCTGGGGGCAACGCTAGGGGTGGATGGGCTCAGGGGGGCGGGGGATGGCCGTGGGGGTTTCTTCGAAGTGGATCCGGGGGGGTTGCAAGTCGAGGCTCAGGTGGGTCTTATCTGGCCCAACCTGGCTCAGAAGTGGGCTACGAGTTCCCCGAGAGGCTTAGGGAGGTTAGATAACTCCGCTAAGTGGGCGGAGCCCACTTGGCCCGGATCGTTAACCCCCTTAAGCTGTTTGGGGTATTTGTAGCCCACTTATAAGCCAGGGTGGGCCAGATATAACCCACCTTGGCATCCACTTGTACCCCCCCAATCCACCTAGAACCCCCCACTGCCATCCTAGGGGGGATCTGGTCAGGAACTTTGGCTTCGCGTGTTGCGCCTCCGGTTCTGGCCAACCGCGATTCGGCGCGACATGCTAGCCACGTCCCCAATCCCAGGCGTCAGTCTCCCGAGCTGTTCCGAGCTGGATCGACACGGTATCCGATTGGAAGGCGTAGCCTGTCGCTGGGGCTACCGCCGCGTCACGCTCAGCAAAAGTTCCAGACCGTAGGCTCAGGGTCCCAGACATGCGACGTCCTGAGTTTTTCAATACGGGGTCCCTGGAAGTCCCGACCCTTTCCCCGGGACCGGTTTTTCATCCTGAGCCATTTTTTGACGGCCCCGAGGCCCGGCGAGGGCCCCCCGAGGCCGAAAATGGCCCAAAGACCTCCCGTCCTGATTCGTTTTTCACGACGCGATCATGTCTGGGGTTCGAGGCTTTCGGATTCGAAGTTCCAGTGCTTCGGTCGGGCCGAACGAAAGGGGGGGATTGGGAAAGGGGGGGGGGTACGAAATCTGCTGCATGCAGCTGGTTTCGGCCCCACGGAGGGGCCCATTCCTCGATACATGGCCGCCTCTGGCGCCGGGAGGCGCAGGGAAAATCAGCTACGTGAGCTGATTCTCGAACTCCCCCTTTGCTATCCCCCGTTTTAGACGCCTCCGGGCGCGGGTTGCCAGCCTCGGGGTGGGCCTCGAGCGGCTGGGCTTCCGGTGGGTCTTCGCCCCGCCGCCGGGCCCCTTCCTCGAGGAGGTGGCGCCTCCCGGCGCCAGGAGGCGCCAGGAGAGCCTACGTGAGCTGATTCTCCAGCTCCGCTCGCATCGGTAGGAGAGGGAGGAGGAGGAGGAGGAGGAGGAGGAGGAGGAGGACGAGGACGAGGACGAGGAGGAGGAGGAAGACGAGGAGGATGAGGAGGAATAATCATAATAAGCGTAATAAGCAGAATAAGCAGAACACTGATAACATTATTACTAGTAAGAATAATACCAATGCGAATCATATTACGAAAAGCAATAACCATTCTCAACATAATAATAATAATACTAATAGTACTAATAATAGTAATAATAATACTAATAATAATAATACTAATAATAATAATACTAATAATAATACTAATAATAACAATACTATTAATAATAAGATGAATACTGAGACTAATCATGCTAATACCCATACTATGACTAACACTACTGTTAATACGAGAAATGGTAGTAGTAGCAACCAGATTAAACATGCAAACGCTAACACTAGTAATGATATCAATGCGACGAATAAGATTATTCACGCCAGTAATAATGAGAAGAAACATACACACACAATAACACTAATGCTACTAATAAGTTTTTGTAATACCAATAAGAAGAATAATAACAAGAGTAAGAAGACGCCCTATCTATGGTAGTGGTGGTGGAGAATCGACCCATCACCCCTCCGCTCCCGGCATTGCCCCCTGGGCGGGAGGGGCGGCGGCCGGCAGATTCTCCTCGCAGAGGGGCGGCTTCTGCAAGAGCGCGGGCCCTCGCCGCGGGGGGCCCCGCCGCGGAGCAGACGCACGGGCAGACGCCCGGGCTCCGAGGCGGGGGGTGATGCAGGGGAGACCCATGCCAGGAAGCACCCTGCTTGCCTCCGGGGTGCCCTGGGTTTCACGGGTCTCGGTGGCTTTGCGATGGACAGCCGCGGCGTTCCCACACCAAGAGTCAGTGAACGTACTGGGGTCTCAGGGCTGGGCTTCTTGTGGAAGGTTTCTAGTGGTCTGGCCTACGCTGTAATTTCGCCATGGGTCGAAGAAGAACAATCAGCAGAAACATAAACTGTTGGCGCTCCGCGTGGATTTCTTGGATCCGCCCTGGGCTCTCCCGGCCGGCGCTGCCTCTGGCGCGCTTCGCGCGCCAGGGAGTGGGGTCCAGCGCGGATCCAAGAAATCCGCGCAGAGCGCCAAAAGTTGATGTTTATGCAGATTTTTCTTCCTCTAATGGGGGGAACGGGTCCTGAGGGAAACGAGTCGAGAGGTTTTTCGCCGTTTTCGGGCTCTCGGGGCCCTCCACGGGCCCCAGGATTGTCCGAAAACGGCTCAGGGTGAACAACTCGTCCTGGGGGAAGTCCCAGGGTCGAGGGCCCGTTCTCCTCAGGACCCGTTTCCCCCATGCTAGTACATGACCATCACCTGGAGGACAAATTCTAGACTCTTCGCGTAACCCCACCAGCTCGTTCGACTTTATCTGACGGCGCGCGGCTGACCGCGTCGCTCGCGAGGAAAAAGTAGCCCCACCAGCCCATGCAGAGACGATACCCAGGCGAGTTGCCCCGACCAGGGACATGTAGGAGCATTCAGTGGAACAACGGGGTTGGGGAAGCGTGCGTACCCGAAGAAAGGGATGACGGAGGAAGAATCGGAGGAAGAGGTGGAGCCGGAGGAGGGAGGAGGGAGGAGGAGGAGGAATAGGCGGATCAGGAGGAGGAGGAGGAGGAGGAGGAGGAGGAGGAGGAGGAGGAGGAAATGAGGAGGGCGAGCAGAAAGGCCAGAGGCCTCTGAGAGAATGTCTCTTCGGGTGTCTCTTGAAATCTTCTTGGAGTCCTCTTGGGCGCCTTGGGGTCCTCTTGGCAGTCCAGGGGGCCTCTTGGAATCTCTTGGGGGTCTTTTGGGGACCTCTTGGGACCCTCTTGGAGGCCTCTTCGGGCCTCCTGGGCGCTTCTTGGGGCCCTCTTGGGAAGCCCCAAGGAGGCCAAAATGTGTCCCACACCTCGCTAAAATCATTCTCTTGCACAGGGTGTCTAGAGCTCCTACGGTTTTATTTCGGCACGGGACCGGTCGATGCAGCCCTTAGGCCGCCACCTCCCAGCGCGTCCCCCCCACATCCACTTTCTAAAGCAGCCATGCCGAAGCAGCCCCTCGGCCCTCCGCATCCCTCACCAGCGCAGCCAGCCCGCCAGCCAGCGCGCCCCCTCGGCACCGGTCCCATCAGCCAGCGCGCCCCCTCCGCCCCGACCGCTTTATTTCGGCACGGTACCGGTCCCACCTGCCAGCGCGCCCCCTCCGCCCCGACCGCTTGGGGCGTCTGGGGACACTTTTGGGCATCTTGGAGCGATCCTGTGGCATCTCGGGGCCCTTTTGTTTTTTCTTGGAGGCCTATTGGGGGCCTATTGGGGGCCTCTTGGCCCTTCTTGGGGCTTTCTGGAGGGGCGGTACCCACTCGACCCGACCCGGCCGGGGATCTCTGACCCGAACCGGCCGGGGACCGCCCGGTTTTTTATTCGTCTGGGGACCCCCAGGGGCCGCTCCGCGCGCGCGAAGTAGAAATACTGTACGCAGTTACCGGAGATCTTAGCACGCCTCCTGCCCGTTGGGCTGGCGAATTTCGGCACGGCACCGGTCCCACCAGCCAGCGCCCCTCCCCCATCAGCCAGCGCAGCCAGCCCACCAGCCAGCGCGCCCCCTCCGCCCCGACCGCTTTAGTTCGGCACGGCGCCGTCCCCCCCTCGCACCCCCCGCGCAGTCAGCTCCTCCGCACCGGTCCCACCAGCCAGCGCGCCCCCTCCGCCCCGACCGCTTGATTTCGGCACGGCACCGCCCCCCCCCCCGGCCAGCGCGCCCCCTCCGCCCCGACTTCGTCATCCACCAGCCAGCGCGCCCGCTCCGTCTCGACCTCTTTATTTCGGCACGGCACCAGTCCGACTCCGCCTCGACCCCAGCGCGGGCCCTCCGCCCCGACCCTTGCATTTCGGCACGGCAGAAGTTCCTCCAGCCAGCGCGCCCCGTCCGCCCCGACCCCTTTATTTCGGCACAACCCCCCCCTTCCCCCACCAGCCTGCGCGCCCACTCCGCCCCGACTTCTCCATCCACCAGCCAGCGTGCCCGCTCCGCCCCGACCGCTTTATTTCGGTACGGCACCGGCCCCACCAACCAGCGTGCCCGCTCCGCCCCGACCGCTTTATTTCGGTACGGCACCGGCCCCACCAACCAGCGCGCCCGCTCCGCCCCGACCGCT